TTATCAGCTGAATTGCTGGGATTCTCGCTCGTGTGGCAGCTGCAATGCAACAAAAAAAAAAAAAAGTCTGCAACAAATATGTAAAATAAAAGAAAATAAATAAATAAACTTGTGTAGCGCGCAGTACGCCAAAGAAAACAAATAATTGAATACACAATAAATAAATATGCGATGCAAATACGAAAACGAGAGCGTCTCGAATAAATTAAATCTACCAAAATACCAGCAAAATATACAAACCTTTAACGCAGAGCTCGTGTTTGGACAGTCGGGCAAATATCAAAAATAGAACTTTCTACTATCGAGCACCAACTGCTGATATAAGATTTTTAAAGCGTTTGCGATAACATGAAAATTAGCTAAGACTAGCATAAAACGAAGAACGACAAACATTGGCAGGCCGAAGATTTAATACCCTGGAAATCAAGTGTAGACGCAGGCTTAATCTATTGTTGCCAAATAATATATTCAGATAAATGGTATAATAGTCAGAAATATTTTTCGACTGAGTCTTACCTTGGACGTATATGATATAGGAGGCCGCCGTTGATAAGATTTCGCACATATGAAGCAGCAGGGTGTATCTGTGAAATGCCATCTATCTGAAAATGTAAAAAGACATTTTATATCAGAACGTTATTATCTATCAATAAGTCAGCCTTAGGTTATAAGGACTCGTCTCTTAATATTGATCATTGATCAAGCATATACATAGTATGGTCTCTGAGTTGTCTTCTTCTTCCAGAAAGTATTTGTTTAGTTTGCAAATGTATTTCAGAAGACTTTGCCTGGTTTTGGTATGCTTAACTAGACTAGAACAGAGTTCAACGAACCGATTCTGGTTTTTATGTTTTCTTCTTTCCAAAACGCCACGAAGCCAGCAGATCTGCCACAGCTGATGACGATCTACATGCCACAAGCAGCAGCAACAACAACAACAACAACAAGAACAATTTACAAGAAACGTGTCATAATAACAAGAGGAACTCAACGAACCATAAAATGGTATAACAGTTGAAGCATATCGATAGGATCTACTGCCGGCACCCTGCGCACCTTTCTTTATGTTATGCCCGCTTCTTGGTCTTAATATGCCCGGCTCTATCGGACTAATGCTTCTTCTTTATCATTTCTTTTTGCCGCATTTGTTGACTTTTAATCGCTATCGCTGCACAAATTGTTGGTGTTTGACAAGTAGTCAACACTTTTTTTTTTTTTGATAACAATTATCGAACGCCCCTTGACACACGGTGCCACGCAATCAAGGCGGGGTGGGATGGGTTGGACGGGGGCGGGGTCTGTGTCTGGTGGCAACCGGCGGATGTTTTTATTTGTGGTTTGCACTGCAGCCGCTCGGTCTGAATGTGGAGTATTTGTTGTTCAAGTTGTTGCTGATTATAAATTTCTTTTACAATTTATGGCCCTAGCCAATAGTTGACTTCTTGGCCTGGCCTGCGTGCTGTCGATAGGGTTTCGCTGCGCACAGAATGCATTCGGTTGTGGTGTGTGTGTGTACACAAATTGATTTTCTATCAAGGCCATAAATTTCACTAGAAAAATACAATTTTGAAAATATATATTTATGATACACTTAGTAAGCAACAGGCAAAAGGTTATTTGCTTTCCGAGAATCCACATGTCATGTTAGACTAAAAATTGTTTTCAAGTCTATATTTTTGTAAGAATTATGTTGTATAAGTGCTGCTCTTATACATATACACACACATATTTTATATAGTTTTGCGAGACAAACACAAGTCATGAAGTCATTTTCGCGTCAGCAGCAGCCAAAACTTTGCTTTTGCACTTAGTAAGCATTTTCTTTAATTAGAATTAGGCACTAAAACTTTTCCACAAACACATCACATTTTCCCCGCGCGCACACGCTCTCTCGCTCGACAAATTCATGAATTTCCACAGATTTACAGCAAATTCTGTAAATTGAAAACGCATATAGCATATGTGGAGTGTTTGACAAGGGGCTGTAGAGGGGGGCGTTTAGGGGATAGCCGAATGATGTCAAGGTATGTAAAGCTCGCCTCTGAGACAAGCTAAGCGCTTTCTTGGCTCTTAGCCAAGTCTGATAATGCCTGCGAAAATCGGTATAGGCTTTTGTCAGGGGCATGCGTGTGTGTGTGTGTGTGTGGAACAACACAATGGCCATGACTATAGTCAAGCCGAAACCACCGCACCACTACACCACCGTCAACATGTCTATTTTCCCTTCCGCAATGCCTTTCGACAATTACAGTAAACAAATTCGCACACGTTGCCTGCTGCTGTGGTGACAGGCTGCAAAACAAGAGACGCAAATAGACAGCAGCAGCAGCAGCAGAAGCAGTTGCAGGGGCAGCAGCAGCAGCAGCAGCAGTTGTAAGTGAAAGAAAAGTGCATAAAAGCTTTTGAGTGTGGGGGCGTAACGGTACCACGCCCACATGGCCTGCGGTCATGGCCATGCCAAGGCACACACAACTCGTATTTTTGGCAGGCACAGTTTTTGGCCATGCATGAGTTTTGCATTTTTTACGCCACGCCTCGGCCCCAACTGCAATTTGGCAGCGCGCTGTGCCCGAAATACTTTGCCCTAGCATACTTTTCTGGGCCATGCATGTCCTCATGTGAGTGTGAGTGTGCTAGTGTGTGTGTGTGTGTGTGTGTCACGTTGCGACAATTCAATTGAATTGTTGCTGTGAGCTCTTGAGCTACCAAGCAATGGAGCGAACAGCAGTAGCAGCAGCAGCAAAGCTGAAAGGAAGCCTGCCCCGGTTCAGATTTAAGTTACAGCCAGCCTCGGAGGCGACGGCATCAGCTGCAACATTTTTGTGCCACCAGCCAGCCAGCTAGACTGACTGACGCCGCCGACTCTGACAAGGAATCTGGCCAGTTGCCAGTTGCCAGTTTCCAGTTGTGGGCTGCCTGCCTGGCTGAGTCCTCGGATTGCCTGATTTATGGTCAGCTATTCACGCAACGCATAAACACGCCATTGCACGGGCCTTAAAGTCGTTTGGCAAGAGCTCGGAGTCGGGCCGGGCCATGGCATGGCATCAGCTTTCATGTTGAGCTGGCACTTGGTATATTAAATAACATTTGAATCGAATGATTGATTCACTTTATGACTCAGCTTAATTAGATGCCATTGTTTTACACCCACTTGAATGGCCATATGTCAGCCTGCTGTTAGCTTCTAGAGACCTGATCAAATGTTTGCCAGATGCCAAGAGTATTGGCTTTATTCGACTGTCGCACTCTTTCGCTGTCTCGCTCTCTGGCCTTGCGCTTCTTTTCTTTTCACATTCAGTTGCCACACTTGTATGCAACGGCATTTTCAATTTTCCATTTCATTTTGCTTTTGCAGCTTGTTGAATTCGCAATGCATGACATGGAAAATATGTGTCATGGCTTTGCGGCCAGCGACGCGTCGCGTCGCGCCAGTTGCCAGTTGCCCGTTGCCCGTTGCCAGTTGCCACATGCGCCCGTCCCAGCGTGCAACACATGACAACAGTAGCTGCTGCCCCTCTGCTTCCGCTGCTGCCACAGTAGCTGTCGACTTAAATTTAGCTGCTGATGAATCGCTGCGACTGCGGCTGCGACTGCGACTGTTTACAGTTTTTGTCAAACTCATTTCGTTCCATTTGCTAATTTTATGGCCACAAAATGAAAAAACATCTGGCCAGCTAATCGGTGGGGCTACGTCTATATACTACATGCTAATGTGCCAATGTAGGTGCAGCGCGGCGCACATAAACATCATGTAGAAGCCATTAATTTAAATTATAAACTATAAAGACAAAATAGGCATCACACACACACACACACATGCACATACACACTCACACACACGCCCGGCAGACGTATCTATGCCATATAAGTCGATTGCTCAAAGTGCCTGATTTCTGCATTGTTGTTGTTGTTGTTGTGGTTGTAGCTGTTGCTGTTGATATTTTTGCTGCTGTCATTGCCATTGCAGTTGTCATAAAATGCGTGTCATCAGCCCACTAGCTAGCATCACACACTACTCTCCCCTCCCTCCAACTGCCCGCCTTCGGCTGTCCCACGCAGAGAGCGACAGTTGCACGCAGCTATCTTCAATCCGGGCTCAATTCTCGCTCGGTAGCTGACACCAGCAACAAAAGCTATTAACACATAAATACATACGCACATGTGTGTGTGTAGGTGTGTGTGTGTGTGTGTGTGAGTCTCGAATTTATTGCTGTTGTAACAATTTGCAAAAAGGGGTAGCTAACAGCTGCAACAACCTGTTGATATACTTGCTAAATGTGGACCCATAAATTAGAATATTTTTTTACTTTTTATTGATTCATAAATTATTGTCATTCAAATGACATTGAGCATAAAAATCGATTATGTGTTGATCCTCCAGTCGCTTGGAGCTGACTTTTCAATTATTTCTGATTGGGATCTCCTGCGCTTGTTCTATTTGAAAGACAATGTCAATGTTGATTGAAAAGCACTTTGTGACTTTTTTGCGAATTTTGTGGCCAAGCCAAAATTATAAGACAGCGGCAACAATAGCAACAGCTTGCTCAGTGGAATCTAAGTTTATGGAAAGGCAGCACCCAAAAAATTCGCAATTACGAGCAATTGAAAAGTTATTAAGACGCCCAAAATTGATCATTTTTCTATATGTAAAAGTAGTTAAAGCGAAACGCAATAAACTTAAATGAAAATGAATGTTCAATTGTTTTGAAAATGTATTCAAAGCCCACGCACAGTACGCTGACATGATGGGTGGCGCCACCAAATTGAGGGTACTAAGCAGGCTTTGAGCCATAAACAATTAAGTGAACCACACCCGAAGACAGCACAGAAATTAAACAAGAAATAAACGATATTTTGAAGATGATTGGGAGGCCACGAAGCTGGCTGAGATTGACAGCCAAGAGCTAAAGTGCTTTATAGACTAGAGCTAGAGCTGTTATTTAGATGCGTATTTTGAATGGATAACTAATTTTTGTTTTTCATATGTTTTACTTTTGCAGGCGCCATTTGCGGTGGCAGCTGCTGCAGCAATGCCACGGAACTGGAACTGCGCCAGAAGGCAGCCGGAAAGTTTGAGCAACTGCTGCACCATCACACGAGCAGCCTGCGCGGCATCCTGGAGACCACGGCCAGCCAGTTTCAGAGTGAGTATATGAGTATATGTATATGAATGCTATGAATCGCATTTGAATGTGCGAGAGTGCAGCCTGCAAAATGTGGCAAATGGAAACCGAAAGCTGAAAACTGGAGACTGCCAAATGGCAAATGGCAAACGCTTTTATGCAAATCAGTCCAGTCGGTCGCTTGGTCGGTTGGTTGGTTGGTTGGTTGGTTGGTTAGTCAGAGTCGGAGGCAAAGTCTGAAAAGTTGATAAACATATATATATTATATATGTATTTTTTTTCGTGGCAATAAATTATTTATAATATGCAAATATGAGCGTGGGTCGCAAAAATTATGATGATAACTTTTATTTTTCTTTCGGTTTGAATTTAACAAAATTAAACTTGAAACGCGAAATTGATTTGTAATTTGCATTTGTATGCAGATCAAAGCGACTCACGGCAATGAAAGTCAGGCATATATACCTGTATATATATATATAGATATTTGTATGTATGCCAATCCATATCCATAAACAAGCGAGTCTGGCCCGGGGCATATCCGCTGCGAGCTGTTTGGAATGCAACAAAGTGTCTGCATCTAATTAAAAAGGCATTAAATATTGTTGTTGTTCATGTTTTTGCTGTTGTTGTTGTTTGTATTGTTGTTGTTGTTGTTGCTCATCGCCTTTTGGACACTTTGCAAACTTTGTTTGGGTCACGTTTTCGGGAGGACAACAGCGGTAGGAGAACTTTTCAATGCCTGCAAATTGTTGTCGTACATGTTGTAAATCTCGCTTTAAGGCGTGCCCCCAGCTCGGGCTGCTGTTCTCAATATGTATTTGTTCTCGTTTTTGTTGTTGTTCTTGCTGTTGTTACTGTTGGCTGCAGTTCTTGGAAATGGGCGCGCATTTAAAATTAAAAAGTTTTGTTTGCGGCTGCACCCGACTCTGGCTGTTTTTATGGGCCGCGTATTCGAGCACACTATTCGCGCACATATATCTATTGTTTGCACTTCCATGTTTATTTAACGTCATTTAAATAATTTATTTCATTAAATCGCTTAAATTTTAAGCAAAAATACACATTAATTTGACCGAGTAAATACTCTCTGCAGTTATCAATTGAAATCTGAGCCCTTAAGGCCTCTATACTGAAGAGCTTTTGTTGATTCACTTTTTTTTTTCTTTTTTTTTTGCCAGCGCTGTGGCACGAATTATTTAAAATTCTCAGTGCATTTGTTGCCTTTGCATGATGTCACATTAGAGCTCGTGAAGTATCCCACGTTCAATTCAAATGCAAAAAACAAATATTAATATGCAATCAGCGAATTCATTTAGCTTAATAAATATACAGGCAAGCAGGCATGGAAATGAAATTACATTTAAAATTGCAATTTATTTATTTAACAACCATAAAAAAATGAAATAAAATAAAAGTAGGCGCGTCCTTTAAAAATGCACGAGGCTTGCAATTTTATTGTAAATGTTATTTAAACTGTGCATTTTGTTCCCTTGTTTTTTTAATGCTGTTTATTTAATCATTTAATGCATATGAAATTATGTTACATATAATTTATGCATGTCAAACAATTTGCCGCACAGTGATTGGAAATTGTTTGGCTTTTAAGCCTCTTGGAGTTGTTTAACTTTTGGATTTGGCCAACTCGCTTTTATGTCTACACACGCAGACCATAAAAATTGATTTACCTCGTGCCAGCTCGTACGCCCGTGCGTATGCGTAATATTTGCTCAAGCTTCAACTCTTCAAATGCCTTTAACTATAAAATGTAATGCATATTATTGCTGGTATTTTCGTTCCATTATCGCGCTTACGCATAAAATATATTTTATTTTATATAAAATATAAATGCACATTGCCGCTTAATGCCGCAACTTGAGCAGCAGCAGCAGCAAAATCAGCCGCATCGAGAGCTGCGCATATGCAGGTTTTCCTGGCGCTTTTCCTCTCGCCCTGCGCCGTGTCTTTCCGTTTCCTGCGTGATTGTTGTTTTGTGTTTTGTGCTGTTTTGTTTTGCTGTGTTGCGTGGCTTTGTTGCTGCATGTGCTGCTTTACATTGTTGTTGCTGCTGCTGCTTCTCGTTCTGCTGCTCCGTGCGAATGCATGTTCCGTATTATTTTTAAGCAAGTATTTGCGTGTGTAAACACGTTTCGCAGCTTACGAATTATGCCAACTCCCGCCGCCCTTAAGCCCTGCCCCCTTTGGCAGAAGCGCCTCCACAAGCTGCCCCTGGACAAGCTGGCGGGTCTGTCTCCATTGCGGGCGCACTATGTCTCCATTGCACTTAGCACGTTCCGCTGCTCCATCTGCCCCTTTATCCTCACTCTTAATGCTTTTGCCTGACAAAAAGTTAACCCCCTCTTCGCAGCCGTTTCTTGCCTGCACTTCGGCGTGTGCCTGCATAAAACTTCCAAATGCTGACTTACTGATCAGCCCGTTTGGCTGGCTGCCACACACACACACAGCCACAAAAACTTTTTGCTCTTTGTACAACAAAAACGAAGTGTGGCAAAAATTCGTTTTCTTTTTATATTTTCGCATTTTTACAATGCAACAGCAATAACAACAACAGCAACAATTGCAACAACAGTGCGTGCACTTTCATAAGTCGCAACTTTCGTGGCACATTCCACTTGGCAGTCGCCTCTCTCCGCGCTTCTCAAACGCACTGCAACGTCTGTTTCGGCCGTATCTTGCGCTTTGGGCAGCTTGCTGATGCTGTTTCTTTTTTCTCTTCTGTTGTTTTTTTGTCTACAAGCAAAGTGGCTTTTGGCCGTCATCGTTTGTTAACTGCTTTTGTTTGGCTTGTCACAAAGTGAAGCTGTTAGCTAGTTGGTTAGTTGGCTAGAGCCAGAGATACCGAGCATGACTTCGAGTGGCTGCAGTTGTTATCATTATTTTTTACTGCAACTGCAACAATGCGGCATCTGAAATTGAAGTTAAGCTAGGAATTTTGTAAAACCTACGACCTCGTAAGGTTTTCAAAACCTAAATAGGATTGCATGATACGATCTTACATATACAATAAATTCCCGCTGCAAACTTGTTTCACTGCCATAAAAAATGTTTCCAATTAACACGATTCTTTAAATTTAAATATATATTTGGCTCAAACTGCCGACCTTGACTGTGCAGCTAGATTTACTGAATGAATATCTGAAGCGGATAGCATCAAACAACAATAAATAAGCTGCACCAAAACCAGCTCGTAATCATTTGTTTATTGAAAAACAAAATTAATGGAGTCATTTGCGGTTTGTGAAACAAAACGCGATAACAAAAAATATTAAATTAAAAATATAAAAAATTATATAAAGATTGCGCAACAGGTTTCATTAAGTGACAAAGGCAGCCACGGCTCCAACTTGTCTGTCTGGCTGGCTGCACCGTCCAAATGATATTTATAAGCATTATAATTAGTTGCTTACCACTGTAAATGTACAGCATTTGTAAGCGCTCACTTTTAATTGGAGGCACCACAAAAAAAGGGTAAGAAAAGAAAGGAAACTTAAAAAGCGGCAAGATATTAGGAGTTAGAGGCAAGAGGCAGCCAGCAGTTGAGTTAGAGCTTTGCAGTAGACAATTAATGCGTATGCTCTGAAGCACCTCAATATGACGACGCAGATATAAAGTCAAGAGCTAAATTCATCCAATTACTTTGACATTGTGCTAAGGCCAGGCATCCAGGCGCAGCCAACACGGAGCCCACAGCTGTTGGAGTGGCCGAGTTGGCTAAGTCAAGTTGTTCTTGCTGCTGCTGCTGGCATCTGGTTTGGGGCGTGCCAAGTTGGCACGCCTGCCAGCAGATAGCTAGTTACAATCCAGGCACTTGAGCACACTGTGTGCCGTCTATATCGATGCGAGCTGGAGCCCAGATAGCAGCAATTATCATAGAGCAGATAGCAGGCTAGAACGCAGGCTATAATTATGTGTGCTCCACCTTAAAAGTCACCCAATCAGTGAAAGATGCGAGACTCCAAAAAACACTTCAAAGCACCTGGACGGGCAATTCCCAGGCACCACTGTGCCAGGTTCTTTGGCAAACTGCAGAGAGCACAGGCAAAAACTTGCCGCATTTCAAAATGGACTCAAATGCGAGAGGGAGAGAGAGGTAGATAGAGGGAGAGCGAGCACGGGAGCAAAGGCTAGAAAAATCAAGAAATACATGCATATAAAATGCAAATAAAAAAGCGGCAGATACTAAAATTGTAATATCCGCACAGGAACGCAGGCAGCGCACAACACAAACCGGGGAATAAAATATAAAAAAAAGAAGCTAAAAACTACACAAAAATAAAAAAACTGGACGGCATGGCTAATCGCAGCACGCCGAACACTAAATACCCTTGGTTTTTACAAGAGAGCATAAAATATAACATTTAACATTGTCATCCGATACGAAATGAACTCTATTCTATCCATGGACCTATATGAAATAGGCGTCCGATGTTTATAAGACGTTGCTCGTATGGAAAGAGGATTATGAAGTCAAGCTAAGTTAAGATACTCTATCCTATTTCTATATATATCTCTTAATTTTAGACTGATTATTCCTATGGCAGCCAACTGATCCAGTTGATTTATATATATAGAAGAACCTATGCAACTCAATCGATTTCAGGCCTAAGGACTAGTTAGCATAGCAACTCGGCTGTTGATACCGATCAAGAATATATTTACGTTATCGTCTGCTTTGTCTTCTATGCCCTGCATATCTAGTGACAAACTTTTAATACCCCGCACAAAGGGCATCGAAACGGGCAGCAGAAGGCGAAACCTGTGGGCTATCCCTGCATATATGTATATGTATATTTGCCATGGCGTGGGAAACAGAAACAACTGCGAAACGCGGTCGCATCTGCCGACGCGAGTTAGCCGCTTTTGGGGCTGGGCCCGAGGCAGCGAGGAACCGGTCCGAGCCAAGCTTGGACGCGACTGCAGTGCCCACTGCTCGCCATGCTAATCCCGCTCCGGCGCCTTCTAATGAAGTAAATGTGGCCTAGCTCAGATATTTGTTCTATGAATACGTAAAGAACTTTCGAGTGAATGGAAATATTTTTTTTTTTTTTTTTTTAGTGGCCCTACCTGATGCCCTTTATGTGTTGTTGTCGTGGGCGCGGCGCGGCCCGACTCCAACTCTGGCTCCCTTTGCAGTTGGTCTCAAATGGCATTTGGCCACAGACCGTAGCCGGAGCGTTGTCTAATTCAATCAGAATGTCCGTTTGCCCGTTTAGAGTCGTTGCTGCTTGATGTGTGACGATTGCGACAATGTTGAAAAATAAACCTTAGTCTAATGAAATTTTCATGTAACATGGCCAAACAGCATTGCGTTTGGTTAACAGCCTCGTCCCACTCAAGCAGCCAGTGCTCTATTAATTCCCAGAAACTAGAAATAAAGGGAGAGAGAGAGAGAGAGAGAGAAAGGGAGAGACAAATTGCAATTAGTTGTGCACAGCACATGAAACAACAAAGTGTGTGTGTGTGTGTGCCTGCCCCTGGCAGCTTGCATACATGTATGTATATATATTCATATGTATATATGTTCGTTTCTTGCCAGACTTTTGATATGGAGCCGCAAATTTAACTGCCTGCACATAGCCTGTGGCTGACTGTTGCCAGTCGGTCGTCCTCTGCGTGTGGGCTGTGTGAAAACCTCAACTTAATTGCTCACATTAGCCCGACAAAGCAGCTGCAATAACATTAAGTATACGCAGCGTATGCTCTATGCTGCCTCCGCCTCCGCCGCAGCCTCAGTCTCAGCAAATGGCAATTTAACTATCAAACGCTGACAACTTGTTGCCAACATTTTATTACAATTTTAATGGACTTTAACATTAGATACTGTGGGCGAGAAATTAAGCAAATGCTTAAACTTAACTAAATGATATTAAATAAGATATTTACAGAAGTTTCTTTATTTTGATAAAATCCATCATTTTATAAACTTGGAAAACAATCTTATATAAAATATAAGAATCAATGCTTGTTTCAATAAAATTTCCAAATACTCAAATATCTATCTAGATAATTTAATTACAAAAGTGAATTTAACACTGGATTTTTTCTAAGTGTAGCTGCACTTATTTTTTCACTGCAGATGACAGCTCAAACTGGCAGCTTTGTAAAGGTTGTAAAGCGTTGGCTTTGCGGCTGGCTGCTTCTTGACTCTGACAATGGCTAACGGTTAGCACACCCACATAGACATAAATAATATATCTGTATTTAATATATATGTATACTGACAGTAAGCACTCTCACATTACAATTACGATCAAAATTGCTCGCACAATTTGTAATTAATGTGCGAATATCTGCGGCCATCAACGCATTTTGAGCTCGCGTGTTAATTATTAAGTGCAGCATCCGCCTGTTGAAGGCTTCATTTTCCACAGCTCAATGTGATTAGCGGCAGGATGTGTACGAGGGGCAGGATGGATGAAGGGGTTAACAATTTCCACATGCCAAAGTTACGCTACTCGGTTGGCATACGAATTGCATGCACTGTTCATATCTAATTGAACAATAACAATGTTATTGTTATATGGCAATTGATTAGCGCTCTCTCTTTCTCTCTCGCACCCGCTTATCTATCTGTTGCTTTCTCGCTCTATTGGGCGCGTATCCTGCGCAATTATCAGCGGCAATTGACAATTGATTAGCTGGCCAAATGTTGTTGATGTTCATGTTGTTGTTGCTTTTGCTTTTGCTGTGGCTGTTGTGGCAACTGGACGCTTGTGTATTTGAAGCGAAACCAACAAATCGCAAGAAAGCTAATTAAAAGGGGTAAACTGTGACGCATCAAAGGCCATTAGCCGATAAAGAGCCAGCCAGTCGGACGGACAGGGCAACAGTCAGACAAGCCAAGCCCAAAATCAGCCCAAGGCTGAGAACGGAAATGCTTCGCACGACAACAACAACAACTTTAGCGTGTTGCGATGAGTATAAAAAACACTTTGCCACGCCGAAATGTATTTCTTTACCCTTCAAGAGGGTATTATAAACTTGTCTTTAAGTGAGTAACTTGTTATGGAGAGTTTTTTGACACCATTAGACATATATATGCCTGAGCATACATATACGAGCCGGATCGAACCATTATATCATATAGCTGTCATATGTATTATTAGTCAAAAATTAAGAAAATAAGAAAAGAACTTATATGTTTCTTGAGATAACTTGACCTATCTTGGTACTCACTAGTCTTACCATGCTGCTAACATATAAATAAAATCTTATGAGAAATCTTAACCAACCTCCAACAATTACTAGTAAAGCTATCCTTATATATATCGAAAATAGTTTTGAAATGTATATCTAAAAGAGTATTTAATCATCGACCAGCCCAAATTTTCCGTTCCTTCGTATTTTTTTTTTGTTTTTAGTTTTTGTTGTCGTTCTCGCTTGTCGTTGTTGTTGTTGTTGTAGTTGTTGTTGCCATTTGCCAATTAACAAAAAGATTGACACTTTTATTTAAAAACCGAGTCGTTGGCCATAGAGAACAACAGATTGCAATTTAGAATTTGCCACGCTTCGCCAGTTGCTTGGCCAGCGGAGAGGCGGCGACGACTACTCCGACAGCCAAATTGACAGACGGACTTAAAGTCTGACAGTCGGTCGTTGTCTTCTTTATAAGTCTGTTATATATGCTATGTGTGTTTGTATGCAGATTATCAAATTGACAAACGGTTGTGAGGCATTTGTAATCGTTGTATTAGCCGCGATAATAACGAGCCGCAAGCTGCGAGTTGCCAGTTGTCGGTTGCCAGTTGGCAATTGCAGGTGTCTGTCAGGTGTGTTCGATGGCCAATCAATAATATAATACCAAAATCCAGGCAGACAGATTTCGCTGACACTGTGACAGATGATTTTTGAGCAATACTGTGATTAGCATACTCTGTGCTTGACTTCGGTATTTGAAAGCGTGACAAAAGCTTTGATTGTTGATGGGGCATAGATTGATTGATTGATCGAAAAATAGCACAAGACTTGCGATAAATGAAGTGAAATAAGTCCAAATTACTCATTTGCAATGCTGAACAGTACACGAGTATAAATACTCATTCATTTTCTAAGAGTATCCAATTATACGCATTACTTATATGAATAAATATTGACAAGTAAATCAAAACAAAAGTACTCAGTTAAGCTCACTTTATTTGATTAGTGATACTGTTCAAAAAGTATCCATTTATACGTTTGTAATACTCAAAAGTATCCGAGTATTATTGCTCCCTCATAATCAATAAATAGCCATTTATACGCATTATTTAATCAAAAGTATTCTATGAAACTCAATTTACTTACTTTTAATACCAAAATCTACTCGACTATTAATACTATCCATTTGTATACTTCACTTCACTTATTTATAATGTTAAAAAGTACTCGAGTTTAAATACTTTGCATTACGCATTGCACACTCGAATGAGTAGTACGCAAAAGTATTCGTTTAGTCCGCTGGCTACTATGCTTCAATATGCTCCCAATTATACTCCAAAGTAATTACAACTAAATTTAGACAACAGTAGAAAATTGCTTTATCTGCATACAAAATCGAGTCAATCAAATCAAATACATGTCCTAAGCACTTAAACTCGACTTTTCTTTGGCTAGCAATTATTGATTGCCTTGAATATTTAATAAATAAAATCTTTTGGTCAAGTCGTGCACAAATTTGATTTAATTAACTAAAAGCACTGAGAACAATAGAATAAACTTTGGCCTTAACAACCAAGCCAAAATGGTAACAAATCCCGGACAGGTCATTAAGCCAGGCAAATCCCAGCAGAGGCATAGAGCTAGAGAGAGGGAGAGGGAGCGAGAGAGAGAGGCAGGGAGCAGGAGTGAGCGAGTTCAATAACAAAGTGATTAAATTTTATTACAATGTCGAGCAAACAATAATAAGAACCACCTTTGGATTATGCTTTTTCGTCAGGTCACGTCCTAGAGCTGGCGGAGCAGTCGGAGAACAAGACGTTGAATGTGTTCTCCCAGGTCTACAGGCGAATGGTGCCACTGTCGCGAATGCTCATACATCAGCTGTACACGGAAATCATCAAGTATGTAGAGGCCTTCACCCCGGAAAGTGTCAATAAAAATAGCTATTTAACTGGTGCTTTTTCGTCTTCTTCGTCTTCTTCACAGCCATTTGAAGTACACGTCGAACTATAGCAGCAATAATGGGCAGGGCAACAGCATTTTGCACAGCCAAAGCAGCTTGGAGGATGCGCTGCACAGGTTCTTTGAGAATCTATTTCCGGTGGCCTACCATCAGGCGGTGCACCTGACCAAGGATAATTACGGCGAGCTGCACGACGACTACACGAATTGCTTGAAGCACAACTACGATGACCTGCAGCCGTTTGGCCAGATACCCAAGGAAATTCAGGCCAATCTGTTGCAGAGCGTGCACATGTCCAATATCTTTATGAACGCCCTGCTCCAGAGCGCCGAAGTGCTCAGCGAAACGGACGCCCTCTACGGCAAACAACTGACGGACACGTGCCAGCTGCATCTGCTCAAGATGCACTACTGCCCCAACTGCAATGGCCATCCGGAGTACAGCAGGCCCAAGGTCTGCTACAGCTACTGCATGAATGTGATGCGGTGAGTTAGCCAATCCCCTCCAGCTTTTCATTTGCTTATTCAGTTTTCCCTTTTCCGTTTGCAGCGGCTGCTCGGCTCAGTATTCGGGTCTTCTGGACAGCCCCTGGTCGAATGTTGTGGAGGCCTTGGACAATCTGGTGGCCACGCACATACGCTCCGACAGCGGCATTATGAACACCATCAAGCAGCTGGACACAAAGCTATCCGAGGCCATTATGCGAGCCATGGAGAACGGACCAGAGCTAGAGAAGAAGGTAAGCGAAGCGTTTAAAGCTGCGAGCCGGTTTTAAACTGAACTACTTCAAAATCGAAACTGATTTGTTAACAAGAGAGAGAACAAGCATCGAACCATGTTTTTTTTTTCTCTAGTTCAGTTAAAATTAAAACTTTTGTGACTCAAAATTAACCCGAAATTTCTGAAAGAAAATATCAAGGTCCTTCAATATTTCGAATTTGTTTCATTTATATAAAAAAAAACAGTCAGGAAGTTGGTTTGCAGCCCTGAATATATAATTAAATTAACTATACATTAATCATAGGATGGTTTAACCCATGCGAAAATCGTTCATGTCTGAACTAAACCAATTTCCGAGAACCTTAAACTATATACTATGTAGGGCATTTACAATTATAATTTTTAACATTAAGCCAGGCGCATTTTGAGGAGTTTTCGCTCATTCGAAATGACAGGCTCGTGCGTGTTGGACAAGGACATGAAGGCTTTAATTGCGCCTTAATTTATGAACATTTTAAATTAATTTTATGGGCGGCCTTCGAGCGGATGCCACAAATGCAACCAGTTTCGAGTGCATGACATTCAATTACGAGTCGGGGCTAAAGTTGTCTCGGAATGGGATTTAAAACTGTCCAATTAGATGACATTTATGCACTCGGACGGCGAGCGACCAGTTGGTGGCAAGTTTGCAATTTACATGCAACGCAGCGTGCCACGAGTTGGGGCACGAGCTGGGGCAATTGCACGTGCATGAGTGCCGGCGATTAACGCGTGGGGCACAGGAAGTGCCGCTCGAACATGCGAATCTAACTAAAAACTATCTCCTCCTTCCTCTCCCCTCGCCCTAGGTGAAGAAAACATGCGGCACGCCCAATCTGTTGCCCTCACTGACCGCCGCGGAGGCGCAGCCGGTGCAGCAGCACGCGAGCATCAAGTGGGCCACGCCGCCAGATGCGGGCATCGTGCACTTCCTGTCGACCATCGAGAAGTCCAAGGAGTTCTTCACCAACATTGTGTACAAGTAAGTGCCAGCACAAGGATTGAGGCCACAAACAAATATTTATATATTTAAGCGAGATTGTGTGCATGGGGGGGTGTTTAATTAACTCTGAACATAAATTGACCTATGCGGTGTACCTACGGGCCCAACGGGTCCCACCTACTTGCCCCTGGCCATCTTGTAGTTCAAGTCGCGCAACAGTCCGAATACATCCTTCAGCAGGCACACGTAGAGCGGCGTAAAGATGGCTATGAAGAAGATCACATTTGCCCAGATGCAGTTCTTCACCATCGGACGGCATGCAGTCTACGAAAGGTAGCAGGAGCAGCAATTAGTGGGTTAACTCCTGAAGTTCCCGTGCTACGGTTGGATGACTTACGCCACGTGCAACTGCCGTGGGACGCACCAGGCAAAAGTTGCGAGCCGTTGTATGCACGAACACCACAAGCTCCTTGAACATGCTCAGGCTTTAGTTTTTGTTATGTACTTATGATTCAAATTTTTTTTTTGGGAAAAACAAATGTTGTTATACGATTGGGCTGCCAAATGAGACTGGCAGAGATGACAACATTTGACTACCCACACACACGCTCATACACACAAAAGTAGATATGTAAATAAATGTAGATTTCAACCGGCTAACTAAGATTCGAATGCTTTTGCTTGACAGCTTCTGTGATGAGGACTATACACAGCGCGACGATCATCTCTGCTGGACCGGAGATCGCGTCGGCGACTACACCCAGCTGCTGATGACACCCGGCACGGACACCCAGCGCTACAATCCGGAGGTGCCATGGGAGAACCAGTCGCAGCTCAGCAGGCTCAACGAGCTGGTCGACAAGCTAATCAAGATACGCAAGAGCATCGGTGTATCGGTAAGTGCAAAGCATAACCTAATCCCTTGGTCCACTCAATCATATGTGTTGCTTCGTTCCCTTGCTGCAGGCGCCTGTCTCCAACAGCCATGACATCCAGAGTGACATGGGTCGCGAGGGATCCGGCGGCGGCGGCGGCGGTGGAGGTGGCGGCGGCCACATGAGCGACGACGATGAGGAGTACAGCAGCATACACGGCTCCGGTGATGGCTCCGGCGATGGTAAGTTACCCTGCCAAAGGGTATTATAATTTTGTCAAACTTAACAATTACGAGAACAGTCTCCTAACACATCGTATCCTCACGTATGGTACCTATATAAAAAAGTGAAAGTTTCCTCTAGAAGTAATCTTACGCGAAATCTCTTAAAAGTGCATCTACGGCAAGCTAAGGTTAAATGTTCTCGCCTCTCTTTTAATTTGATCTAAGATAAGTCTGAGGCTGAGTCTAACTCCCTTTCTCTCTCTCTCTTTCTCTCTGCCGCACAGGTCCCACATCGAACTTCGATGATCCATCAGGAACCACGCCCATCAACTATGACACCGAGTCACGCGAGGTGCAGAAGGGCGCGTCCAGCGCACTGACGGCCACTGCGACGAGCCTACTCCTCACACTAGTCACACTCTACAGTAGTTGTAGTTAAAGCAACAGCAGCACCCAAATCCCAAAAAAAAAAAATAAATAAAATATATATAAATATATATATATATAAACAATATATATAACAACGCATAATAATATTAAACGCAAAGCAAGGCAGCAAAATGCAAGCAGCGGAAGCGCACGCACAAAGTTTGACGCAATTAAATATTAATAATTATTATTATTATTATTATTATATTATGATTATTATTTGTGTAATGCTTAAGTTGTTACAATTAATTTATTAGCCACTAAGCGCATTCACTTTGCAGAGTAACAAAAACCCAATTGGAGTTGCGCTACGTTTGCTCCGTTTGGCGTTGCCACCTTTCTTCTAGCGTTCCCATGCCTGAGCTCGTTGCACCTCAACGCTGAATCCAATTAGACTTTTGTGCCATATAAATGTGTTGCGAGGATTGCATAAACAACTACAACAACAACAACAATATACAAAAAATAGGCTCAAAATATTTAAAGCAAAAACCTGTCCACCATCGAACTTTTAAGCAAGTGCAGTTTGTTCAGATACATGTTCTTTAAATCATATATATATATACATATATATATATCTAGCTACAGTACGTAAATTATAAAGCTCAATGTTCAAAGCGAATTGTTCCTTTTTGGTGTAATTAAATCAAGCGAATTATATAAATGCAAAAGATACAGATACAAGATGCAAGATACAAGATACAACTAGTTGCTGTTATGGCTCATTCTGCGGGAGCTTCTCTTAAAGTTCACAGAAATTAATACGTAAAACAAGAATTTAAAAATTTAAATGTTAATGAAATACAAATAACCGAATTATTGTTGTCAACATTTGTGAGAGCTCAAAGAATCGTATGAAAGAAAATGCATATTAATGGAATTTAGTTGAGTAAACGGACTTTTTGGGAAAAAAAATATGAAAAAAAAAGCAAATACTAGAAGACTTACAGCTTTATACGCATGAAACAATGAAAAATCTATTTAACTATGTATATCTATAGATACAAAAAATATCTAATACGTAGCATTATTAAAAGTAAATTTTATGAAGCAAACACTTTGAGGTCATGTCATAAAATGCACACAACGTAAAAAGAAAAGAAAACAAAATGCATTAAAAATACTATTTCAATACAAAAAAAAAATAAACAACAATAACAATTTGTTAAGCTAAGTTGGTCAAAAGATGAGAACTGAGCTTGCAATTGAGAATCAGCTTTTGACCAAGCCAAAAGCCTATTGAGAAAAAAAGCCGTTTAATGCAAATGCTGTAGATGTTTAAATTTTAGAAACTAAAACCAACTAAATTCGCAGCTTCGTAATTTTTGTGTTGTCTTTGTGAAAGAAAGCAGCTTAGGCGACACTCTAAAAAATATATAGAAAATGCAAAAGCAGGCACTAAGTAAAATATAAATGCATACATATATATAAATAAATAAACATACTAACATATGCATATATGTAGTATATTAGCGCGTAAAGTGTAATAATTTAGCGTGTAAAGTGTAAAAAGAAATGGTTTATTGAGAACATGAAATTTAGTTAGTAGCCAATTAACAAAGGATAATAACACAACAAATTGATCTACTTACTATATACAAAAAATATATATATGAATTTATATATATATACATACTACTGATTGATAGCAACTAACGACCGCAGGCGAAACTATAAAAAAGAAGAACAACAACAACAAAAACATGAAAAGCTCTGAGAACGGCGGTCACATGAATATGTGTATGTTAAACTATGTATAATTATTATTTTTATTATTTAACTATTGCATGTGATTAATAATATTTAAGTTAAACGTAAACAAAACATATTCTACTGTAACTTATGTATACCGCAACAGCAGCAAACACAATGTGCGAAAGGGGAAGCAAATTAATGCAAAAAGCAAATCATCTTTGTAAATCTAATCGAAGATAATGCAAATGTGCACAAAAAAATTAAATGTACCACTTTTTAGACGCCTAAAAACCAATAAATAATAATAAATAAATAAATATGTAACAAAACAAAGCAACTATTTATTTTCAACTTTAAGGAATGCAGTAAGTAATTGAGCATTTATTAAATACTTATGTAATGCAGCGTTTAAATTTCAAATTTGAATTCAGCGCGCCAACTTACTATTTGCCGCGCTGCCACTGCTCCGCAACTGGTTCAGGCGCTCAAATAAAGGGTGCTGCCAACCTGACGAAAATCGATTACTGCTTGCGATATTTTCACCACCAGCTGCAATCAAGAGTGGCAGCCTCGTAGATGGCAATATTTGAGAATTGAAAACTATCGAAAATATCGTAAAAAAGGCGCGAATTAAGCATAACGCGGCACAGACGGCAGGCGGGAAGCGGCGTTCTGTTGTATTTTGGTTGCATTTTGTTGCAAGCGGGCAGAGAGTGAAGTTTACACATTATTTAAATAGTTTAATATTGTAAAAAGAAAAACATACACAAATGGCGCGCCGTGACTATGTACAGGATAGAGGTAATAAACAATTGAACGCAATAAAACAAACTGTGCTAACAAATATATCACGCAGAATCGATCAAAACATTTTTGGCCGAGTTCTGTAAATGCGACGATGATGGCAAAAAGGAGTTTGTCTATGGCTCGCAGCTGGTGAAGCTGGCGCATCGCGAGCAAGTGCTTATTACCATCGATCTGGACGACCTGGCCGAGTTCAATGAGAGTCTCGCCGAGGCTGTGGTCGAGAATTGCCGACGCTATGTGTCCATTTTCAGCGATGTGATCGCCGAGCTGCTGCCCAGCTACAAGCAGCAGGAAGTGCACGCCAAGGATGCGCTGGACGTGTACATCGAGCATCGCCTGATGATGGACGCCCGGACGCGCAATCCCATGGAGCAGCGCGATGAGCGCAACGCTTTTCCCACAGAGCTGATGAAGAGATTGTGAGTAGAACACGACCTGATGCCAGCTGAAATCCATGTTAACGTTTGTCGATGTAGCGAGGTGGGCTTCAAGCCGCTGTCCACGGAGAAGGCGCATTCCATACGCGAGGTGAAGGCCCAGCAAATTGGCAAACTGGTCACCGTGCGCGGCATTGTCACCCGTTGCACAGAGGTCAAGCCCATGATGGTGGTGGCCACCTATACTTGCGATCGCTGTGGCGCCGAGACCTATCAGCCCGTCAACTCGCTCTCCTTCATACCTGTGCAGGAATGCCCCTCTGACGATTGCCGCGTGAACAAGGCTGGCGGTCGTTTATATTTGCAGACGCGCGGCTCCAAGTTTGTCAAGTTCCAGGAGCTCAAAATGCAAGAGCACAGCGATCAGGTGCCCGTCGGTCACATACCACGCAGCATGACGGTGCTCTGCCGCGGCGAGGTCACTCGCATGGCTCAGCCCGGCGATCATGTGCTGATCTCGGGCGTTTTCCTGCCCATGGTGCGCACCGGCTTTGCTCAAATGATTCAGGGCCTGCTCTCTGAGACGTTCCTGCAGGCGCACGTAAGTTTTGTAGAGATCCTGTAGCTAATTTTGTGATATAACTTTTGTGTCCTGGCAGCGCATCATATGCATAAACAAGAATGATGATATTTCGGACAAAGAGTGTGAGTTGACGCCGGCAGAGTTGGAGGAGCTAGCCCAGGATGACTTCTACGAGCGCCTGGCCACCAGCTTGGCGCCCGAAATCTACGGCCACTTGGATGTGAAGAAGGCGCTTCTGCTGCTGCTCGTGGGCGGCGTTGACAAACGGCCGGATGGCATGAAGATACGTGGCAACATCAACATCTGCCTGATGGGCGATCCTGGTGTGGCCAAATCACAACTGCTTGGCTACATCAGTCGGCTGGCCATACGCTCGCAATATACAACAGGTCGCGGCTCCTCGGGCGTGGGTCTAACGGCGGCCGTAATGAAGGATCCACTCACTGGCGAGATGACACTCGAGGGCGGGGCGTTGGTGCTGGCCGATCAGGGCGTCTGTTGCATTGACGAGTTCGACAAAATGGCGGATGTTGATCGCACGGCCATACACGAGGTGATGGAGCAGCAGACCATATCCATAGCCAAGGCGGGCATCATGACCACGCTGAATGCGCGCGTCTCCATTCTGGCTGCTGCCAATCCCGCCTTTGGTCGCTACAATCCACGGCGCACCGTGGAGCAAAACATACAGCTGCCCGCCGCACTATTGTCCCGTTTCGACTTGCTGTGGCTCATTCAGGACAAGCCCGATCGCGACAACGATCTGCGTCTGGCCAAGCACATCACCTATGTGCACAGCCACAGCAAGCAGCCGCCCACGCGGGTCAAGGCGCTGGACATGAATCTAATGCGGCGCTACATAAATCTTTGCAAGCGCAAGCATCCCACCATTCCGGACGAGCTCACCGACTACATTGTGGGCGCCTATGTGGAGCTGAGGCGCGAGGCTCGCAACCAGAAGGACATGACATTCACGTCCGCACGTAATTTACTCGGCATTCTGCGACTTTCCACAGCGCTGGCTCGCCTGCGTCTCTCCGATCGCGTTGAGAAGGACGATGTGGCCGAGGCACTGCGTTTGCTGGAAATGTCCAAGGATTCACTCAACCAGATACACGAACACCAGAAGGGACAGTAAGTACAACGAGCTGCTTGACTTTTGCTTTGGTTCTCATCACTCTTAAATCCACTTGCAGTGTGCCAAATACATCGGATCGCATCTTTGCCATTGTACGCGAGCTGGCCGGCTCCGGCAAGGCTGTCAAGATCGCGGACATCATGGATCGCTGCACGACAAAGGGCTTCAAACCCGACCAGGTGGACAAATGCATCGACGACTACGAGGAGCTGAATGTGTGGCAGGTTAACATGGGTCGCACCAAGATTACATTCATGTAGACCCCCTACCCCATTCCGAGGGCTATTTTATCTATTTCTATTTTAGTTGTTAAGCACATTCTCAAAATACATTTCGATCGACAAGTTCATGTTTCAACATAATTCATTTAGAGCTTATAAATAAAATCGCAAATTAGCGCAAATGATCTATTTTAATGCATAAATTGACTTTATTTCGTAGACTTTGAAGGACATTAAACACAGATAAAGACACAGATATATTAAACACGTTAAGTAGTTATAGAAATGTGAAATATTCCGTTTTCACTTGATGACAAAAAAAAAAAAATACTCGCAGAGCCCAGCTTGTTGCCCCTAAATTCGTAAATAACCCCTTCAAGGAGCTCACAAGACAATTTCTGGCATAGACTTCTCAACCAGTTCCAGTTATACAGACATTGATAAGGATATAGTATATGTATGCATGTCATTTAAGAAACTTTACTTTTCACTACTTGGTTATACTTGTAGAACTTGGGATCAGGTTCCCAACTACATGCTCTTGTTGAAGCTCAGCGCGGCACGCAATTTATTGCGTATGCGCGGCGAGTTCCAGCGATTGCAGCCGGCCGAGCTGAGGCCCACAACGGAGCGCAGCTCGTTGGGCGAGATGCCCTCGTCCACGTCATCGGCCTCCGTTTTGATCTCCATCTTCTGCACAATGAGACGCACCAGCTGATGCTGCTGCTCCAGCATGCGGCTAATGTCACGCAGCTTGCGGCGCTGACGCTCCAGCTCGGCATTGATCAGGTCGTCGTTGTTGTCGAAGCTAATAACATCCATGGCAGCTGCGAAGTTGGGTTGGAAAGTGAGTAAAATTTTAGCCAAAATGTATGAGAATTAATATGGATGGCTTGTTATCCTATCTAATGGCAGCCGGGCCAAGCTATTCCTGTGGGAATGTCCAGCTATAAGAGGCTGAAGATTTCCCAGACGTAAGACGAAGAATCCACAATAAGGCAAAACATCCGACTAGGCTCGAAATGAATTCTTCATTCTACTTATTCTTAAGGTTCTTAACTATTAAGAATAACTCTGTTATGTTAGCTTTGTTCTTTCGATTGCAATTCTCAACAAGTTAAAGATTGAAAATGGGGATAACTCGAAGACAACTAGAAGCTTGAATAGCGAGGTTCTCTAATTAGCTAAATTGAAAATATTCAATTTGTGGTGTTAAATAATAATACAAAATAATAATAATAATAGTTACCACTCATGCCTGATATACTTACAATCCTCGGTGAACGGATTCGAGAACCATTTGCGTAAGATAAAGTCCAAGAAACCGAGCTTGCATTTTGTGTCATTGGGATACTCGATTAGCTCCATTTTGTCCACCCGCTGCAGCCAGACGTGGGGCAGCTTGCGCTCCAGCTCCGTGTGGAGCACCACCTGCATGGCCAGACGTTTCAGTTGGGCATTGCGACGCACCGACTCGATATCGCCAACAGCCAAACCGATGAGCAAGTTCATCAACAGAATGGGCATCAGAATCATAAACACACCTGTCGTTAAATTATAGAGATTAGCAGATTGCTAGAGGGTACGCCCATTGTTCTTACTCAGAATCAAAAAGGAAGTCATGGGCACCTTCAGCTGGTCGCGGTAGTAGGTGTTGACATAGGTGCCCACAAAATCCAGCTCGCCCAGCATCATGGAGAAGGTGCGCAGCAGCGACATGGGTATGTTCGAGAAGGACAAGTGATTCGGCTGTGGGTCAATTATCTGCAAAAACAAATTCCAGATTTCAGAGAATTATTTGTCAAGTACAGAGGCAGACACTCACCTTCGAGAGCAATATGTAGAATGCGAGGCCAAAAGCAATAATCAGTATGGAGAAGACCATCAGCACTTTGATCAGGGTCTGCAGAATCTCCAAGAACATGACCACATAGATGCCGACCTGATCGAAGCGCTGCAGAAAGAGCAGCAAACGGAACCAGGACAAGAAGACGGCAATGGATGCCGCCGAATAGTGTATGGTATTGATGGCGCCATCCGGCTTAAAGGCGGGCGCTATCATTATCAATGCGGATATGTAGAGCACCCAGGAGATGAGATTGACAGTCTCCACCAGATAGTGCAAACGCTGCTGATAGATCTGTATCAGTTCGCGCATCGAGTTGAGCAATATGTAGACCACAATGACCACGGCACAAAAGAGTATGGCCGTCGTCCGATTGATGCTCTCCACGCACGAGTCCGGCCGGATTTGAGCTGCCATCGCTGGGCCATGCGATAGATTCCTGGTGAGCACGTCCCAGCTGCAAAAAAAAAATAGATGTGATGGGTTTAATTATAACACAAAACAAGAATTTGTTTAAGAGTTAGGGGTAAGGTCTACTTTTTAGTTTCTGGGATTATTGATTATTTGCTTGGGCAGACTTACCCCAAGTTGCAGTATTGACTGGTGGTTTTGTTGTCGCCGGAACGCAGCTCAATATTGTTCATCATCAGCGAGGAATAGATTGTGACAAAGACCAAGAAAATCGAGTAGATCAGCAGATTGGCCAGATGAAAATATTTGCCATAAGAGTTCCATTTCATTTGCAAATACTTTTGACTGAGCGGATGGGCCAGCAGCTCCACGCGTCCATGCGTGACCATGGTCTAGTTGAACAGAGAGCCAAACTGGGCATTAGTGGGCAACTATTTGGGATTAAAGTACAACACCTAACAACAACAACAACAACAACGACAAGGAAAACAACAACAACAACGACAACAGGATAACAGAGACAACAGTTTTACGATTAGCAAGTGCAAGGACTTGGGACGATTTTACAGTTGCCTTTTAATTGATAAGTTAGTTAGTTAAAGTTAGTTTTAAATTAGCGGAAATAGTTTTTCACAGTGTTTTTTTTTTTCCAACTAGGATTTCGACTCACATTCACGACAGCCAACGGCGCCGGCCGCCATTTCGGATCATTGAATTCTTTACGTTTTTCCTCGATTTGCTCGGGCGTTTTTTGGAATGGCCAAAATGAATATTTGATCTAAAGATGTTTGGTTTTTTGTTTTTGTTTGTTTTTTTTTTTTGAGTTGGGTTATACAAAAATATATCAAAATGCGGCAATGGGTGCGTATTCATGGGCGTGCATGAGCGGATGAAGCGGACCCTAATAGGAACAATTTTGGTTGGGGAAGCAGGGGAACCTAAACTTATAATCGAACGGCAGGGATCGGATTAATCGAATTGTCCAGCTTGTATATAAGTAGTATATCATAGGCAAACAAAAAATTGACACTCAATAAGCATGCATCTGCATTGGCTGCTTTCAGCAGTTTCTGCTTACATTCAGGGCCGGCAATGGAATGGGATTGGATGTCATGATCGGCTCTCCGGTTTTCTCATCGATCTTGGCAAACATATAGGGACATTGCAAGAATGCGAATGAGTACCTAATCTAAATATCGTTGTTGTCAAAGAGAAGAGTTACGATTAGCATCAGGTTCTCCGGCTGGCCAACTAGTTTATGAATTTGATGAAATGAGCTGTTCCTAATATATATATATATGTATGGATGGATGGATCTGCCAAGTCCAGTTCTGGACAACGAATCAACTTACGTAAAAGCTCTTCGAGTCCTTCTTACAGTTGGCCTTTGTTATGCACTTGTCTTGCACCGCCTCAAACACCTTCGGCATAGAGGCAATCAGAGCCAGGGTGACGCACGGATGTTTGTCGGAGCGCAGAGCCATCACCTCGTTGGCCCGTTCCTCGTGCGTGACCATGGCCAGCGCTGCCTCCGGATATTTGTAGTAGATGGCATAGTCGATGGCGCTCATGTCCAGCACATTGTAGACCAGCTTGCAGCCCATGGACATCAGCACGGATATCGCATGCGGCTTGTTCTCCATGGTGGCCAAGTGCAGAGCCGTATTCTGTCGTGGATATATATATATATATATATATACCATATGCATTGCTATTGCTTGCAAAGCTGTCGCTGACTTACCCCATCCTTGTCCAGCTGGTCCAGCAGATGTGAGTGGACCGAGTGCAGTAGCTCTATGGTCTCGGTATACCCGGACATGGCCGCCAGCTGCAGCGGATTGCGGCCCGAGTGGTCGCGATGCAGCAATGCGCCTCGGTTCAGGAGCAGCTGCACCACACGCGTGTGTCCCTGCTGCGAGGCAATGTGCAGCGGCGTCATGCCCGCTCCGTCGCTCTCGTTGATGATGAAGGAGCCCTTCTCGGAGTCGAGCAGCTGCCGGACCGTGTTGTATCTGCCGTAGCGTGCGGCAAAGTGCAGCGGACTCTCGTTGTTGTTGTTCTTCAGATTGATGCAGGCGCCGAGCCGTATGAGATTCTCCAGCGAACGTATATGACCATCCCGGCTGGCATAGTGCAGCGGCGAGCAGCCCATGTTGTCCTTCTCATTGAGCAGCAGCTGCAGCTGCGCCTGTGTCTGGCAATTGGCCACCTGCTCGGCAAAGTCCGTCAGCCTACCCCCGTTCATGATGACAAAGTGCAGCACATTCCGCGCGGCGGCATCCTTCACATCAATGCTGGCGCCCAGACGTATCAGCAGATGCACTTGTACCAATAAAAAAAAAAGAATATATGCATGAATTTCAATATCTTTCAAAAGGTTTGCCAATCTCCCACCTGTTTTCCAGCCACTACGCGAGGCAGCCAGCAGCAGTGGCGATCGATGCTCCTTGTCCAGCGCATTGATTTCCGCACCCTCGTTGACCAGGTACGAGACTATGTCCGGGTGATCAAACATCGAAGCGCAGTGCAGCGGCGTCATCTTCTGTACGTCCGTGCAGCTGAGACAAATCCTCTTCTCCAGTGGCTGCATCTCAAACATCAGCTTTACTATTTCAATAGCGCCCTGTGTTTAATATGAATGGAAAGCGACGATGGTAAAAAGAAAAAAGAAAGGGAAGGAGACTATCGGCATGCCGAAGATAAAATACCCTTGTAGACATGGGGCAAGGGAGTGCCTCAATGCAAAAATTATGTCGGAACGGATGTTTGTTTTAAATGAATATATATCGATTTCTATGCAAAGAAGTCGCTTAATTTTAATAAATATTTGAATACAAATTTATATAGATGCAGTCTCTTTGTTGCAACAAATGTGACCTCTTTATATCCTCTGGAAAATCAACATTAAGTCAAGAACAAGATTGTCTAAATAAACCTC